TCCTGCAGATCTCCGTCATGGCGGCTCAGACTCGAGCTCTGGTCTCCGCTCAGTGGCTCATTAACGCCGTCAGAACCAACCAGGTGGGTCCGAAGCTGCGCGTCCTGGACGGTTCGTATTACGTGCCCAAACTGCAGCGCAGCGCCAAAGCGGAGTTTGCGCAGCGCCACGTTCCGGGCGCGTCTTTCTTCGACATCGACGAGTGCAGCGACCAGAGCTCCGGACTGGACCACATGCTGCCGGACTGCAGCAGCTTCTCCCGGTACGTCGGAGAGCTCGGTATCGGCAACGACACGCACGTCGTCGTGTACGACTGCAGCGAGTTCGGCTCGTTCAGCGCGCCCCGGGTGTGGTGGATGTTCCGGGTGTTCGGCCACAGTTCGGTGTCGGTGCTGGACGGAGGGATGCGGGGCTGGACGGCTGCCGGCGGGCCGCTCACTGCGGAGTCCTGCCGGCCGGAGCGGACCGACTTCAGGGCGACTCTGGACCCGGCCTGGGTGAAGAGCTACGAGGAGGTTCTGGAAAACATCCGGACCAGACAGGTCCAGATGGTGGATGCCCGAGTCGAGGGTCGGTACCGGGGCACAGAGCCGGAACCAAGAGATGGTAAGCAGAGGTTCTGGGCCTTGAACAGTTTAGTGTCTGTGTTCTGATCCGTTCATGTTGGGGAGATGGTTCCGTTTCTGCAGCAGTTTATGGTGGAAATGTGTTGATGTGAAGGAAACCCAGGAGACAGTTTAGATCACAGACATTTATAAAGATTCAGCTGAAGAACTTTTCATCCAGATTTCTATCAGAACTTCATCAGGGGACAGTTTTGTTCTCGTCAGTCTGTGGACCAGGACTGACCTGGAGTCAGACCTGAAGCTTCCATCCACCAGCAGAGACCATGTTCATCCTTCAGCCTTTAGCTTCCAGTGACTCCGACAACTCTTTCTGTTATAGAACCACTGACACATTAGTCTTTGTCACTAAAACAATCCTGTGTTCTGGTTCTGTCACAGATTTATTTAAGTTCTTCTGGAAACACGACAAAACCTGCTGGATCATAAATAAACAAACAACGACTTGAGCGGTCCGTTCTGGTGATGTAGAACGTCGATCAGATTCTCTGATTTTCAGGCCTCTTACCGTCTCGTTAGTTACTTGACTCCTCTGATCCAGTTTAAACAGAACATCTG